ACCCAGGTTGCTTCCTACTACAGAGCAAAGAGTAAAAGTTACCTACCTTCCACTCCTCTGCAAGGAGTAGAAGGACTTTTCGATTCCTTTCATGATTCAGTTTCAAGGAGCTTTTCCGTTATTAGACATAATGGGGCTTTTCAGATGGGCCTTCATGTTTTTGACCTGATGGCCCTGTCAACCAGGTGCCACTCTACATCTTTGTGTTTGGAAATTTCATGGTCCAACTGCTGCCTCTTTGTGAAAAAACATGGAACCCCCTGCATTTCAGTTCTGGTGAAGTCAAGACCAGGCAACTAGGAGTAATTCCTCAGCAAGCATTAACTGAATGTGCAGTATTGATAAGGCATTGTAACTCTAAGGATTCATCAAGGAAAGATAGAGACAAGATGTCTGATCTCTCCTAAGAATTTAACACATGGGGGTTGCCTCACCTCCATTTTTTGGTAAAAAACAAAAGAAACTAGCTGTAGTCCTGGCATGTTCCTACCATTACAGCTGTACTTGCCACTAATAGCTCTAATCTCATTTTTCTGCATCCACTGTCACAGCAGAAAGTGTTCTTCTCAGTCCTCTCAACTTGCAGGTGGGTGCCACTGCCTGGTCCTGAGTTGCAGAGGAGACTCCTCTGTGAGATGGGCTAGTCCCAAATGAGCAGGAGGTTTCTCAGTTCGTTTCACACTGACTTGTAGCAGATATGCACACGATCTTTAAAAAGAGAGAAATCATTCAGAGACAAAAATTAGCCCATTTGCAAATTCACAAAGAATGACTGATGATGATTCTTTTAGTTCTTTATTCTTTAATAGTTTTTCATTTTAAAAGATAAAACTTGAAAAGTTGCAGTAATCCCAGATACTCTTAACCAAGTTTCACTAGTTGTTAGCATTTTGCCACATTTCTTTTATTACTGTCTTTCAAAATATATAAACACACTTTTTTTTTTTTTGATGAACCATTTGAGAGTAAATTGTGGACATCATGACTCTTTACCTCTTAATACTGCAGGATATATCTCCCAAGGACAAGAACATAACAGCACTACAATGTGGTTATCAAATTTAGAAAATTTAACCCTGAAATGATCTTATGTGCATAATCCCATAATGTCCCAATTGTATTCTTTAAAATTTTTTCCCAAGATCCCATCAAAGATTATATGTTACATTTAATTGTCTTTGCTGTTTTAGTCTCCTTTCATATGAAACAGGTTCTCAAACTTTTTTATCTTTTAGTTATCATTTTTTAATTTTTTTGTATTTTGGTTTTCTAAGTACATATATGTCTATATCTATATACACACATACTTTTTTTCATTTTGCTAAAAATATTAAGATTCTGCATCTCTGTTCATTAGGGATATTGATCTGGTTTTTTATTTGTTTGTTTTTTTCTTTTTTTCTTGCAATGCCATTGTCTGATTTTGGTATCACAGTAATAATACTGGCCTCATAAAATGACTTGGGAAATATTCCCTTGACTCTTCTATTTTCTGAAAGTTTGCATAGAATTTATATTATTTTGTGCTTAAATGTTTGCAAGAACTCTCCAGTAAAAACATCTAGTCTAGAGTTTCTTTGTGGGAAAACCCCTCATTTTTAAGACAGGAAGAATTTATCTTTGCAATTTCTATCAGCACTGTGTAGCACTGCGAATGAAGGGAAATCAAGTTGTAAAAATCCTTGTTGTCTAAAGATGCTTGCAGCACACCTCCACTAAACACTATGCTTCCTTGGTCTTAGCAATAGTGAAAAGCAGTTGAATGTTTTATACAGAATGTTTTCAGATACTGATGTGATCTTTTTTTTAACTTTTAAAAAAATTATTCTGAGCCAGGCGCAGTGGCGCACACCTGTAATCCCTGCTGCTCAGAAGGCTGAGGCAGGAGGATCACAAGTTCAAAGCCAGCCTCAGCAAAAGTGAGGCACTAAGCAACTCAATGAGAACTTGTCTCTAAATAAAATACAAAATAGGACTGGAGATGTAGCTTAGTGATTGAGTGCCCCTGAGTTCAATCCCTGGTACCCTCCAAGAAAAGAAAAAAAAATCTGATTTATTGAGACATAACATTTTCACATCTTTATGGGATATTTTATAGTGATTCAATACATGTACCTAATGTGTAACAGTCAAATCAGGGTAATAAGCTTGCCTTGTCTTCCACTATGCATCATTGTTATGGCTGGGAATGTGATACTCTTCTAGTCATTTTGAAATATATATTGTTTTAATGATTAGTTACCCTACTATGCCAAAGAAGAACCTGAAGTAATTCCTCCATTCTGTTGTTTGAACCCCTACTGAACTTCTATCCATCTCTCCTCCCCATTGCCCTTCCAGTCCCTAGTGACCACTATTCCATTCCTTTCTTCTACAAGATTGACTTACTCATATACACAAATGAGTGAGAACATGTGGTATTATTCATTTTTAAACTTTCTGTAGCCAAATAAATATCCCACTATCTAACAATTAGTTTTAGATATTTAAAACTAATTCCTGTCCATGATGCTAGAATATTTCCCCTTGGCCCTGTGCTCTTCTCTGATCAGGCTGAAAGGTCAAGGTGAGGGAGGCACAGAGGCATGGCTTACCTAGTCATTAAACAATTTTATTAAAATTTTTTGAAAAATGTATAAGCTTATAACAAACAATATAAAGGGGAAAAATACTGCCCCCATACCTTGCAAATAAGAAAAAATACAATAATTTGATACATATTTGTCCTCATTCTCTGTATTCTTAAATACATACATACTCATATGACTTTTTTTTTTTAACTTTTTTCCTTCTTTTTTTCCCTCCATGGGAAAAATATCTTTTATGCTCAAATATCTTTTTTGGCTTAACTAAAGGACATTTCTCCAAATTGCTGACATTTTCTTATTAATAATTGCATAATTTTCCAAATTAAAAATCTACTAGTCTATTCATCCGTTCTCCTGTTTCATTGACTATTTCCAGTGATTTCCTTGGAAAACAGTGCAGCAATAAGCATATTTGTACATATACCCCTAATTATGCGCAAAATACAGGAGTTTTTACTTCTGCTGGAGAGTCCCCAAAGCAGGATTGCCAAGTTAAAGGGTGTACACATTTCCTAATCATTGAGCACATTTTCATGTGTTTATTGTTTACTGTTTACATTTCCTTTTCTGACTCTGCATGTCTGTATCTTTTTACAAGCAGTTGAAAGGTGTTTGACCATTAGAGATGTCATGTGTATTGGAAGAATTTTCATCAAATTTTTGCTTTTGTACGTCTGACTTTATTTAGTGTCTTAGGACATATAATTTTTAATTTAAAAATTTAAAATACTTCCCTTTTTTGTTATGAATTTTGGGGTTTACTAGTTTACTTGTGGCCTTGCTTCCTAGAGTTATACAAATACTCACCTAAACTTTCATCTTATTATTTTTACTGTTTTATTTTTTATATCTAACCTTTTGACTACCTGGAATTTAGTTGTGTATAATTTAAGGAGGAGAAATAAAGTCTTAGAATCTTAAGAGTTTGCCACTCCTTTTCATATCTTGTAGTGTTGTCCATCTCTTGTACGTTAAAGACTTTCTAATGGTATTTCATAATATATCCTCCATGCAGCTCAGAGTTCCTCTGGTTTCAGACCTTTCTCATGTCTATTGCTATGCTGAAATGGAGGTCAGTTAAGAATCTTTTTTCATTGCATCCTTCAGACAAGAGTGGTGAACACTGTTCAGCACTGAGGCACGCAGGAAACACTTATGTAAGCTTTTCTATGACTCCTTGGCAAGTGTAATATTGACTGCTTTGTGTAAACAAAGGGAAATGTGGTTCTCCTTAAAGCCACTCCCTGAGCTCACTCTGTTCCTTCCGCCTCTGGGGTCTTTGTTCTTCCAGGCCTGCCTTCTCTCTAGAAGTCTGGTTCATTCTATAAGGACTCCCTTCAGGGAGGCTTTATTCAAATCCTTTCTTAAAATCCAACTGCATTTATAAGCTCTGCCACTGTTTAGTGTTTGATCCACAGTGGATTTTGCTTCTTTTCTAGTACCCATCACTGTGCTGGGCACATAGCTCATTGAATACTTCAGCTGCAACTAAAACAATCTCATGCCAATCGAGGCTCTTTGTAAAGGCTGAAGAACAGCCTCAAAATTTGTCATGAAAACTCTTGGGTCTAAAGAACTAGCAAATGGGAAAACTGAAAAGTGCCCCCTTAATCTGTTGAATACCAGAATAATTTTTCAAGTAATATCATGTAACATCTAAATTGTTTTAAGCTGGGTGTGGTGGCACATGACTGTAATCCCAGCAACTGGAGAGGCTGAGGCAGAAGGGTTGTAAGTTCGAGGCCAGCCTCAGCAACTTAGCCAAAGCTGGATTTGATTCTCAGTTCAGACAAAAAGAAACAAAGGAAGAGAGGAAGGAAGGAAGAAGGGAAGGAAGAAAGGGAGAGAAAAAAATATATAATGAGAGAGAGCAAAGTGACTACAGTGGCAAAACCTTGGCCCAGCGATGAAAGTTAGCATCATCAGTGGTAAGCCTTATTGACAGTATCTACCCTTGATACGATGAGAATGACACTTTACTCTTGTAGTCTTCCTTCCAAAACTATAGCCACAGCCTGATCATGAGGAAAAATACACAAATCCCAATGAGACAGATTCTAAAAAACCTAATCAGTCTTCAAAACTATCCAAGTCATCAAAACCACCTAAGAAACTGTCAGCCCATAGGAGTCTAACATGACAACTAAGTGGGATCCTGCAACAGAATAAAGATATGAAGGAAAAACACAATCCTAATAGAGTTCAGTTAATATATCAGTACCATTTCATCATTGTGATAAATGTACCACATTAAGATATTAACAGATCTGTGTGTGGGATATATGGAAACGCCACTGTCCTTGTCCCTTTTCTATAAATCTAAAACTACTCTAAAATTACATTTTTAAACTATACAGTGTGGACAACAGGTTGACCACATGCTTATCTTCACAACTGTGTTTTTCATTACAGGGTGCTGGTGACAGCTTTGTGGGAGCTCTGGCCTTTTACATGGCTTATTACCCAAATTTGTCCTTGGAAGAAATGCTCAGGAGATCCAATTTCATCGCAGCAATCAGTGTCCAAGCTGCAGGAACACAGTCATCTTATCCATACAAAAAAGACCTTCCTCCTACTCTGTTTTGATTACTGTTATCCCTCAAGTAAAGATACCTGGAAATAAAATGTACCTGAGGTGACCATTCCTAGCTAACACTTACTAGAAAATGTCCTCTCTCTTCTTTGTAAATATTATGTTCATTTAGGAATCACATTCAAGTTTTCATTTACTTATTTATAAGGATGATCCTTTGCTTTTCATACATTCACAAGAACCAACTATAATTAGATTCCACAATCAGGATCTGTGTAAAACTTATCGCTACTCAGGACCAGCATATTCTATTGCCTGTAGATTGATAATTTTATGTGGCACCATACAGCAATGGTGGTGGATACCAGCCTCTAGAGCCAGAGAACAGAATGTTCAATAAGGAGAAAAGGAATAAGGATTCAATCTCCCAAGTACTTAAAAGAGGTGGCCGATACTCATTCTTTAGCTCAAGTATTATCAAACTTCTGGTTTTCTACATAAACCAAGTTTCCATATTTATTGATATTGTTTATATATCAGCAACTTTTTTTTTTTTAATGTAAACACCCTGTGGGCCTCCTTCAGCTTAAGGGCTGAATACATATTTGTTAGGTCAGATGTTAAGGCTTTTTGTTTTTTAAAGCAATTCATGCAGGACACAAATCCTTCACATGGCTTAGTTAGGATCATGTAAGATTTCTCTTGTAACCCAAGACTTTATTGTGTACAGTTTCCATCTAAATATAACTGAGATCTCACCTGTTACTGCTTTGAACCACAGCTTTAACAAAAGATGCCATAAAATAGCTGATTGACTATAATGCCACAAGCCCTTAAGACTCAACAACTGTTCACATCCAATTCCATTTCCAGAGAGCTGTGCCTGCTTTTCCTCTAGAGACAGATTGGGCCATAGGGAGGGAACACCTGCTACTTTGGAACAGCACTGCTTCTCAATGCTGTGGCCAGGGCAGGCACTCATCTTTCTCCCATACAAGTGCTTAAGATAGGACAGGATATGAACCATCAAAGTTCAAAGAGAAGGAGGGGACAAAAAAAATAATAATAATCCTTTCAGCCAGAATTTTGAGAAATAAAGGAGAAAACTGGAGTGTTTTGAAAATATGAGGGTAACAGTAAGAAAATATATTGATCTGGGCCAAGAGGATTACCAAGTTTGAGGCCAGTCAGGACAACCTGGTGAGACCCTGTCCCAAAATAAAATTTTAAGATCTGGAATGGCCAGGTATGGTGGTGCATAGCTATTTTCCCAGTGACTCAAGAGGCTGAGACAGGAGAATCACAAGTTCATGGCCATTATTAGCAATTTAGCAAGACCTTGTTTCAAAATAAATAGGACCGGGAATTTAGCTTAGTGGTAACTGGGAATTTAGCTTAGTGGTAAAGTGTCCGTGAGTACAATCCCCAGTCCAAAAATAAAGGGGGAGGTTAGGGTTGGGGAACATAGCTCAAGAGGTAGAGCAATTGCCTAAATACACACTGTGCCCTGGGTTCAATCCCCAGTATCACCAAAAAAAAAAAAAAAGGGAAAGCAAGAAAAGAGATCCAGGGGATAAAGGAGTCTGAAACTGTCTAAAAATCCTAGGTACTGCTTTGGTGATCTGGACTTGAGAATACGAACCAATGGCATTTTTCCTAATTTTTAAAAGCACAAATCACAAACAGAAGTTCTCTTAGTTTCCTTTGTTGTCCTTCCTGCTCATCCTTGTCACCCAATTCCATTATTATACAGGGACGGGGGATCTTCAAGATCACCTGGAGTGCTGCTCTGACCATTCTATAAAATACAAGCAGCAATCTAGAAGTTCTTGCATAAGTCTCACCATGGAAAATATCTTCTATTATATGAAACAATGGTTTTTTCTTAGGAATGTGGTTGCTTTTTAAATTTTCAAATGGGAGGGGAAAACATCACTAAGAGACAATGGCACAGGCTATTTTAATATTTTTTATTAAGGGCTATAAAAATATCCAGAAAGATAAATAAATGTGAAGCAACGATGTCTGTCCTAATATGAAGAACTTTCTTTCACTGCATTGTTTCCCTTCACAATGGCCTTGAAATCACAGGAGGCAGTGATGCCACGCCATTTCCTCTTCTTTTATTACAAGCTGTGGGATTTCTGAATCAGTATCCCCGCCCTCAGTCTTCTCATTTATAAATCAAGTTCATTTTCAATCCATTGTTCAGAGAGACCGTATTTTTTTCTGTTCCGTGAAGAGAACTTTTTTTTTCACTGTGGGGGGAGAAAAAAGGGTTGTAGAAGAAAACTAAAAAGTGTCATCAACATTTTTAATAAAAATATGTTATTAGGCCATTAAGACCTCTCCTCTCTCACATTTTACTATTCCTCTGTCATGAGTTTGAAGGTGATCTGTAAACTTAGTTCCTCAATTCCAGAGTCAAGAAATGACTGGAGGAAAAGACTACTTGCCAGCAAATTAGTAGCATCCTTAGTATTCCACAAGGTCATACTTTAATCAGTGTGAAATATTCACATTAAAAAAGAAAGTGACAAACACGGAAACACTCAATGTCTTCAACAGCTGAGGTCCACTCCAGGAGCAAGTAAGCAAGAGTGGGCTGGGAGCTGGACTCAGAACCAGAGCAGCAAGAACTGAGCAGGACAAAGAAGAAAAGGCAGCCTAATGGAAAGAGTAAATACCACGGTACTTCTACTTTCCAGAGCTGTTCTAATAAACCCAAACAGGAACATCTTACTTTAGTAATGAAGTATTATAACCAAAATCTCAACATTGTAAATATGACAAGAATATAGTTCCCTGGGGTGGGGGATCCCTATCTTGTTGGATAAAAGTCAAGTAGCTACCTGCGGATGTAGCTCGGTTGTAGAGCACTTGCATAACAGATACAAGGCCCTAGATTTCATACCCAGTCTCTCTCTCTCTCTCTCTCTCTCTCACACACACACACACACACACACACACAGGAGACCAACCTTACACGTGACTGAGTTACACTCCCCAGCTGGGTGCTGAGGCGCTCAGTCGCAGAAATGTGGCAGATCTTTCCCCACCCTTCTTGGGTACAAGGGTCATTGTGCATGGGTGTGCTTGCTACAGCCCCATGGGTGAAGCTACGCTCACCTGTTCCTTTGTAATATTACCCCTTACCCTATTTAGGATAGAATCTTCCATGGAAGTGCCTTGTGTGTGTCCCCTTCTCTTACTGTGCCCTTGGGTATGGCCTACCCAGGTGTCAGTCAACCTGCTGACAGTGGACATCATGAAGACAGACTCAGCCCCCTGAAACCTGACCCTTTGCCTCATTTGAATAGTTTCTCCTCAATAAAAGGGGTCAGCGCATGCTCTCTCTCTTTCTGCAGACCCTTAAGGTCAGAGAAGCCGTCACAGCAACCCCAAAGAAAAAGGTATTTATGTCTCTTGTATGGTTATTTTGTGCAGGCCAATTAGCCCAGTTTAACTGGAGTGACTCCTGAGCCTTTTAGTTGCGAGAACAGAAACCCGGCGCGCACACACACTCTACATGCTAGGAAAATAAGGGTTCCAGAGTCCCCTAATGCCCTAGAACCCACAATTAACTTCTAACCACTTCCCCCTACACTCACCCCACTTGATTCCTCTTTGCCAAAAAAGGCAATGCACCCAAGGAAGATTCAGGAACTCAAGGAATGTGACCTAGAAACTCCCCAATAGTCTCTACCATACAAAATAATTTTAGCTTTGTATTTTCTTCTTTTTTATCACAATAGATAGAATCTCTGTATATGAGATTCCCAAAGTGTGATTAAGAATTAGCCAAATAGGGCTGGGGCTGTAGCTCAGTGGCAGAGCACTTGCTTATTATTAGCACACATGAGGCACTGAGTTCAATCCTTAGCACTGCATAAAAAATTAAACAAAGACATACTGTCCACCTATAACTATAAAAAAAAAATAGCTAAGTAGCTTGTTTAAAATGCATTCTTGTTTCTCACCTCCACCCCTACACTAATTCTGGTTCAGTAGAGCTAGAATTGGACTAGAAAACAACATTTTTAAAAACTCCTTACACAATTCTAAAAGGCAGCTGAATTTAAAAACCATTAACCAGTTAACAAAACTTCACCTAAGAAATGAATAAGAATACTACATAATACAGACATTGAATATATGGGATATTTTTTGCATACTTCATATCATCTAAAATATAAGTAGAACTGCTCCTCCTAAGACTCCACTCCTCTAAGAAGGACCTACAAAGCACTACAAGATGTTAGTAAAGACACAACACACTTTCCAAAATAATGCTGTTTAGAAATATTTTCTGTGTTTTTCTTCACCAAGGCAAAAGTTGAGCTAAAAGGAGGGTTGGCATTGTAGCTCAGTGATAAGAGTACTTCAGCGTCTGCAAAGTCCTGGATTCAATCCCTAGCACCACCAAAAAGAAAAAAAAAAGGGAGGCAGGGGACTTATCTCACTGAGAAGCAATCAGGAGATTATTTAAATGACCAAGACAAGGAACAAATAAGATTAATACAACAAGGTTTTATTCAGGAAAATTCTTTCATTCACTGTAGTAATTCCTTTAATTCAAAAGAACAAACATTTTATTCCAAGGAACTATGCTAGACAATGCAAAGTTTACAAAAGTATGAGATGCACTTGTCTATAATCCCAACCCTCCAGGAAGTTAAGGCCAGAGGATTGCACTTTCAAAGACAGCCTGGGCAATATAGTGAATCCCTGTCTTAGGAAAAATATATAAATAAAAAGCCAGGCACAGTGGTGCCTGCCTGTAATTCCAGTGGCTCAGGAGGCTGAAGCAGGAGGATTATAAATTTGAAGCTAGCCTCAGCAATTTAGAGAGGCCCTAAGCAACTTGGTGAGACCCTGTCTCAAAATATAAAATAAAAAGGGCTGGGGACGTGGTTCAGTGGTTAAGAGCCCCTGGGTTCAATTGCCAACATACACACACACAAAAAAAAAAAAAAGAGTTCCTAATTTAGTACTCATGAGGTACCCATATGAATTTCCAATAAACCCTTTAAGAACCTAAAGATTAAGGTGAAAGTAATAGTGACAGAAGGCCCAACAGAGTAAAACTTAGCCCTTAAAGGAGCAGCATTTGGATGACTAAAGCAGGAAAAGTGATAGGTGGCAGGAATCAGAGTGAGGCTTCATGATCTATTTAGATACTAGGCTGAACACAGGGGAAAGTTCTGATTTTTTAAAAAATTAAAAGTTTAGAAAGATCAAACTGGCTCCCTATAACAGAAAGAACAGGGAATTGGGGTTAGAATCATTGGATTCAAACTTTGACTCTATCATTTGTAGCTCTGAGTCCCTGGACAAATTTCCCAAAATACTCTATCCTATTTCTTTCCCTGAGAGAGAACTCCAACTCACTTATAGAGTTGTTTCCAGATACACAGAAGGACTCAATATGTGTTAACTGAGCTGAAATGACACAATGCTATCCACAACCGTAAACATAAATTTTCTGTCAAAATATTTGCTGCTTAATTCATAGAAGAATGAATCTGTCAAGTTCTTTCCCTACAGCTAACCTAAATCTATTCTGTTTCAATTAAAGTCTATATCGTCTTGTTTAGTCACCCAAGGAATTAAAACTGACAAGTTTTCATTCTCTTTATGATAAACAAAGTTTAATAAGCTTAGGCCTCAGCTTTAATCCTTCCTCCCTGGATATTAGCATCTAGTTTTACATTAGGAAAGTTGAGTCTGAAAGGACAGGAGCAGATACAGCTGGTTCTTGCCAAAGAGTTTACTAGAAAATGCTCAAATAACTGGGAATATTTATTTCTTTACCTGATTTCCTTCATAAAACAAAACATTATCCTCAAACTAACTTAACTCATGTCGGTAAAATATGCTAGGAAAATTGCCAAGCTATTAGGTACCCTGGGCAATGGGACAGGCTCCAAGGCAAACATCTTCATCACAAAAGTCTGCAAAGGATCCAATAAGTGGACAGAAAGGCAGGTAGTCTACTATCCCAGAACATCCTTTTCTTCAGAAAAGACAAAAATTGTGCTATCAATTTCCTTATTAGAAAGTCCCAACTATATCTAAAATTTATATACGAGTCTTTTCTCCCATTTTTTGAACTTATGATCAAAACTAGTTATGGCTATAATCTTTTTTTTTTTTTTTTTTGGTGGGGTTCTTTTGTCTTTTTTGGAACTGAGGGTCAAACCCAGGGCTTTGCGAATGCAAGGGAGATGCTTTGCCACTGAGCTACATCCCAGCCCTCTTTTCCCAATCTTAAAACTTAAAATCAATGTGACAAATAAGTTTATTCTACTCCACACTAAGGATGAAAACTCCAATATCTTTTCATACCTATTATTGCAAAAGGTTTTTCAATCAATATTTATTAGTAGTGTGCAAGTTCCTAAAAAATAAACTCTAAAGGAGTTAACATGGTACAATAAAATTACTTCAGTATAAAGTTCACCACTTTTGAGTTTTCACCAGCTAATACAAAGAAATCAGGCAGAAAAACACAACACTAATCTAGCTATCAAACTATTCTTCTACTAATTTTTCTACCACATGAGGAATCATCTTGATATTCAGACTCCTAATTCTCAGGTATAAAACTAGAATTCCCTTTTTATTATGTTAATGAATGATCAGCAACATGAGCAGGAAATTGTATTTCTACTAACAAATGAAACTCAAGCAATTTTAAGCTGACAAATGGACTTCTCAGAACTTTTTAAAAGCACTTCCTGACATTAACATAGTCTTTGTCAATATTATTAAGAAACAATTATGGTTAGACATAGTGGCACACACCTGTAACCCCAGCAATTTGGGAGGTTGAGGCAGGATCACAAGATCAAGGTCAGCCTCAGGAACTTACCAAGGCACTAAGCAATCTATGAGAATCCTGTCTCTAAACAAAATTAAAAATTAAGAAAAGGGCTAGCGATGTGGCTCAGCGGATGAGTGCCCATGGGTTCAATATCCAATACCAAAACAAAAAACAAACAAAAAAAAAATTTGCTTGCCAGGTTTTGGTTTTTGTTTTGGCATCAACCTTCACATCAAATGCAGAAACAGGATGGGCTTCCACCAACAGCAATCAGGTTTGAGCATATTATCTGGCTTTGGGAACACAAGTCTGTTTAGACAAATACACACCACTTAAAATTGCATGATGGTCTTTTAATGGAGGGCACAAAATGGAAAATAATATTTCCTATTTTCAAAACCAAAAAAAAAAAGATACTAGATTTCCTTAACTTACATCTAGACCCTATAACTTGCCACTGTTAGACCATACCTTCCCCTTCTCAAGACACTCTCTTTGTTTCTAGCAGGATACTGCCTATTCTCTTTACATGGTTGGTTTCTTACCTTCATGTCTTTAGTTAATTATCTCCTCCTGAAGATTTTCCCTGACATATTCTATTTAAATATGAATCTAGTGCCAAGAGCACAAGGTCTTAATCTGGCTTTGTGTCCTGGTATATTCCAAGGCAACAGACTTTAAAAACATCTGAACCTACGGTGCAGTAATTCTCTGAATCTTACCAAGTGGATCGTAATGCAAAAGAGTCAGTTTCTCCCGGAGTCGGCTTCTCTTGGCGTTGAAGGAGAAACCTGTCCCAGCTTGGCTGACCATTTTCACCAGAAGGGTTCTAAGATTAAAAAGTAAGCTGTTACAAGCTGAGGAAATGGACTAAATTCAGTCATAAGTGGACGGCACGTTTTGAGAAGCTTGAGGAGTTGTATTAGTTGTGGACATTAGTTGACCCTGAGAAAGTTTGGTTCTAACACAGCCTATGTTTCCCATAGGGCAGTTTCAATGATTTCAATTGGGGGGTTTGATCTAACACACAGTGATTTGGTAATGATCTATGAAAATAGAAGAACAATCAAGCCACATTGGGGAACTAGCCTCAGACATCCATCTCTCATGAGGAACCCATGAGGAGGGGGTATTAACAGAAAAGTACTGATGATCACAGCTACCAAGTGAGGCAATTTTAAAAGTGGTGAGCCCTCTCTATTCTAGAGTATGAGTAATAAGAGCACAATTAAGGAAGGAACAAAATAAAGAAACAGAAAGTTTTATATCACTTACATAGCAAACCTTTTGTCCCTTCATACTTTAAGTTACAGTCATCCAAAGGATGAAGTCCATGCAATAAAGACCTTTTAACTCTCCTATACTTTTTCATGTGTCTTGTCTCCCTTAGAGGACCATGTCATTTCTCATATATTTTCAAAATAAATTTGAAACACTTTAGACTACGTTCCACATCACTACATTGCTTTCAATGTTCAACACGGTGCTTCCAAAGAGGCATACATTTGTTGATTATAGTTAAGATGGACAATAAATCTCAATCAAGTGCTTACTCTGAGAAAAGCACTATGGAAAATATAAAGCTGTATTTGTGTCCTCCAGGAAATAAAGGTATGCTATGAAAATTGAGTTGGTGTATAGGGTCTAAAGGCAATACATATTTGACAAATGTCACAAGATACAAAGAACACAAGAGGCAGGGAATACCTCAACAAAAACCAAAGGCATGGGACTCTTACAGAACGTAGCAGTGGGAAATTCTGACATAAATGAATTGTAGGAAAAACTTTGTGAATCAATAAAAAGCACTGTAGGAAATACTCTGAATCAATAAAAGGGGGCTGGGGCTGTAGCTCAACAGTAGAGCGCTTGCCTAGCATGCATGAGGCACTGAGTTCAATCCTCAGCACCACATAAAAATAAAACAAATAAAATAAAGTCATTCTGTCCACTACATCTACAAAAAGAATTTTTTTTTAATAAAAAGTACTGGGGGGAAAAATACTTAGATACATGTTTTTCATTAACTTTAATTTTTTTAAAAAAAAAAACTAATTTTAAGGGTTGCTTTGTGTTTTAAATCAGAGATTAAACCCAGGTGCACTTAACCGAGAGACATCCCCAGCTACTTTTATTTATTTATTTGAGGCAGGTTCTTGCTAAGTTGCTTAGGACCTTGCTAAATTGCAAAGCCTGGCTGTGAACTTTCAATCCTAACTGCCTCAGCCTCCAAAATTGCTGACATTTCAGACATGCACTACCATGCTCAGCTAACATCTTACTGTTTTAAAACAGCCTTTAGAATTTTTATTTTTAAAAGAAAACCTTCAGTTATTGTTTACAAAATTTATCTTAAAATACCAGTCTGTATTTCTAGTCTCTGTGGTATCATGGAATCTTTACTCTTTACTATTTTTAAAGTGCTTATACCATGAATGCTAAAGATTACAAAACTCATAAAACAGGCCCTGTGATTTAACCAGATTACAACTTATTCTGCTAGATTCAGACAAATGGCCTCTGGTCTCCAGTTTGAGGAAACAGAAAACATGGTGACAGTCCAAACAGCACACCAATGGTTTGTTTAGAAACAAGAAAATAAGCTCATAAACCCTGGGCCTAGAAAAGACATGAAAGCTTCTTTAAGCAAAAAGGAATGCTCACAGAAGCTGCTTCATTGGACAGGAGGGAAATAAAGATGGTTCTCAACTTATTGTTTTTCAACTATACCATGATATGAAAGAAGAGCATTCAGTAGAAGCCAAACTTCAAATCTTGATCATTTCTTAAGGTAGTAATAAGCAGCAAGATACAGTACACAGGCAGCACAAGTGTTCTGTAGGTGAGGTGTATTAAATCCATTTTTGACTATAATATTTTCCACTTACAACAAGTTTGTCCAGAGGTAACAACATCATAAATACAGAAACATCTGCAGTTTTTAAAAGAGCTCATAAGAACAAAAATCCAACAAATAACCCTTAAGACAACTTTTAGAAAAATCAAGATTAAATGTTTAATATATGGATACATTAGCAGCAACTGAACTGAAAAAAAAACTAACATAAAGAAGCAAAGCTCAATTTTAAAAACTTTTACTTACTTTGACTTGCTCTTGGCAACTTTTTGTGTATGTGTAGAGAAAAGGTTGGAAAAGAAAATAAAAACACAAATTTATTATCTTATGCAAAGTTAATACAAACGTCAGTAATAACCAAAAACATTTAATTATGTCATTAAGTATATCATCGTTTCCACCCTAGATATTGAGAACCCGACAGCATTTTATTGAAAGAGTAAAAGAGCCAATCAGATCAACGCTATTCTGAATATAATGCTTTGTACCATCATTTCAGATGGACTGGAAACGTTTTAAATCTTTCTAAGGTCGCATCTACTTCATTGTTTCCTCCTCTTTTAAAGTTTAAATTATTTGCATGGAACAAGCATCTTGTTTGACAAGTCAACCTGTGCAACTGCAACAACCGTCGTTTTAGGTGGGTTGGTAAAGTAAGTCTAAACAAGAAGCCGGCCAGGTGCAGGGGAGCACTGACTCGGGAGCCTGCTTCCACTGCCCAGCTGTGTTGTTTCGGGCCATCTACTGCTCCTCTCGGGATAGATTTCCTCACCTTTAGGGCACGAAATATGTGAGCTAGAAATTCTGAGGTCCCTCCCAACCGGGACGTCCTGTGATTCTTCTGACACATCCCTACAAAGACCCGAGGGAAAGCGCCCCACGCTTCCTGACCAGACTCTAAAGTCCCGCAAAAGCTAAGTGAATCCAGACTAGTCCCGCAGACTCCAGCAGTTCACTCGGCCGCGCAGTGAGGCCGCCGCGAACCAGCAACATCCCGGCCGGTTCGTTTTCCCCGCCCCTCATCCTCCCGGGGCCCTTTCACGGCCCCCTCGCCCTCGCCGTAGGCCCCCGCCGCCACCTCCAGGCGCACTTACAGGAGACCACCGAAAGGAACATGGCGACCGCACCCCTGGGGTCTCCGTGACGCGCAAAGCGCCCAACCAACAACTGCTTCCGGGGCATGGGCCAGTTCTGGAAGAGGACTTCCAGGAGCTGCCGGAAGCCACGCCCCCACCTGGAACCCGTACATTGTTTAGCTGATTGTTTTTTAACCGTTCTTTTTCTTTTTTCTTCTTTTTTTTTTTTTTAAATACAAGAGCACAAATCCATCTTTATTTATTTTCCATTAGTTTACATTCTTGAGTGGTACAGCATCACACACCATTTCAGTTGCTTCGGAATTTGGCCCGAACCATGCCACTATTTCTATGAGCACGAGTTACTTTTCCCCAGATTATTCTGGTTTTGTTTGGTCTGTCACCAGGAGTCACTGTGTTGTTGTTTTTTGGTTTGTTTGTTTTTTGCTTTGAACTCATAAGCACATCTTTTGCCCAAGTAGAACTCGGTTTTATCTCTGGCATAAACACCTTCAATTTTTAGAAGAGCTGTGTATTCCCTTTGGTTCCGAGACCCCGCTTATAGCCAGCAAAAATGGCTTTGCACCACAACTTTCCAGACGTATCTGCCTTTTAGAAGTCCTTTTCCCAGGCAGGCCTCCACAGGCTCCAAGATGTGGGGAAAAAGCTGTTTTTTTTTTTTTTTTTAAATTTCAGATGGACACATCTTTAATGTACTCATTTCTATGCGGTGCTGAGGATCGAACCCAGTGCCTCAACACATGCAAGGCAAGCGCTCTACCGCTGAGCCACACCCCCCAGCCCGGGCTGATTGTTCTTTGCGTGTAGTAGTAGAAGTTGGAACCACCGTCTGGAAATGGCCATCGTTAGCATTCAGGGTTCGCGCCCAGACTCCTACTCCTGAGTCAGAATTAGGCGCTTTCCTTACTTGTTTCGTTAAATAATGGGAACCACCTGCTTTAGAGCCTCGGTAGCTACGTGGACTATCAGCAGACCATCAGCCCCCACGTATTTCACTAAAATGTTTTCCCCTTTTAGAAATCCTCCTTCTACTTAACTCTATCTCCATCCATCTTGTAGAGACCTATTCTCAGTCCCTTTGGAGTCAGGAACCGCACCTGAGTACCTTCTATTCCTGAATTACTTGTCGGTCTCCAGGAGAGCAGGCCCCTGTGCATCCTTGACTGCCATATCCAAACACCCAGCACAGTGCGTGGCAATAGGGCTGAATAACTGTGATCGGGTACACTCTCATAACTTGCCTAATACCACAAAACTAGTAAGTGGTAGAGTCAGAATTTAAACCCAGATCTTAGACCTGCTACAAACACCAGTGCCTTTCCTGCTAGTCATGAAGACCTACCACTTTGTCATCATTAATTCTTCATGTCTCTGCAAGGACTGGGTTCCTCCAACATCAGGGACCTCATCAGTAACTTCATTTCCCAACTAATAATCAGGACTTGGAGCTTTATTCTAATCTGTTTTAATTTATTAATTAAGTTTTACAGACCTATAAAAATAAGATTTTATTTCATGGATTATCTTGACTGAAAGCAATGAAATTATTTAAAAGAAAATTCAGCTTAGAATAAGGGGACTTCATAGGAGATGCTATCCAATACAATTCTTTCTCTCTTTGCACCTTTCTCTGGAAAAATACCTTGGTATATAAGAATATTCTCTTCCACAACAAATTTTAATCTCATGGCTTTAGGCATTCATTTATGATCCTTTCTTCATTCTGTAATTTCATTTGGGGGTGCACAATGGCGACTTTTTAATTTCTATCATTCCTTCTTCTTTATTAGTTGGCTTGTTTCTGTAGATAAAAACTTTCCACCAATCCCTGAGGCTGAATGATCCTCCTAAAAAGGCAAAGTAAGTTATTTTTTCTCTTTATCAATAATCAGAGTATGAACAGTTGTTTTCAATGGTGACAAAAATGTTCTTCCCCTTTAACTTTTTTTAGTATCATCTTAATAGGTTTTTACTCATTGTTTTATAATCATCCAAAGTGTTATTCTTTTTGATGCTCAGATTTCCCCAAATTTGATCATTAGGAGCCTCTTACAGCTAATCCTATGTTCTTTTGACATGTTCCCTTTCTTCCCCTAAACCAAACCTGGAATCAGCTATTTCCCCAAGGTGCGCTATTTTCTTTTCCTTTTCTCCTCCCTCCACCTCCTTCCTCCTCCTTCTCAAAGATACATTCTAATACACAGCCATTGGACTAAATTAGTGGATTTGTGGGGTGGGAGGTATTCTTGGGATTGAACCTGGAGGTGCTTTACCACAAGCCACATCCCCAACCCCTTTTTAATTTGAGACAGGGTCTCGCTAATGCTTAAGGTTTTGCTAAGTTCCTGAGGCTTGCATCAAACTTAACAATCCTCCTGCCTCAGCCTCCTGAGTTGCTGGAATTACAGGTGTGTGCCACTGTGCCCATCTAGATTAGTTGATTTTAAACTTTATTTAAAATCATGGAGGGGCTGGGGTTGTGGCTCAGTGGTAAGTGCTTGCCTAGGATGCATGAGGCACTGGGTTCAATCCTCAGCACCACATAAAAATAATAAAGTTCATCAATAACCAAAAAAATATTTTTAAAAATAATAATAATAAAATAAAATCATGGAATCTTTATTAAAATTAAATCTAACTCAGAAGTTTACAGTATAAAATGAAACTGCAGCCAGCTGTGGTTGTGCATGTCTATAATCCCAGCAGCTCAGGGGGCTGAGGCAAGAGGATCACAAGTTGAAAGCCAGCCTCAGCAACTTAGTGAGCCCCTAAGCAACTCAGCAAGACCCTGTATCTAAACAAAATATTTAAAAAAGGACTAGGGATGTGGCTCAGTGGTTGAGCACCCCTGCGTTCAGTCTCTGATACCAAATATAAAAATAAAATGAAGCTACACTTCTGAAGAGATATTCTCAGAATCCTGGACTCCATGGTTGCCAGAAGCTCTACAATACATTATGGCCACACTCTCTTTTAGCCCCATTTCCCTGGATTCTAGTTCAAAGTTTTAGGCAACACAGACACACACACACACACACACACACACACACACACACACACACACACACAGGGTCCTGCAACCCTTGCCATAGTTCCCACTCTGGGCAAATTCCTTCCCACACTGCCTTACCATAGAAAGAATATTAGACACCAAGTGAAGAGCACGTTTCAAAGAGAAGAGAGTGGATAACTGTGTAAAATGATACTGATGAATATCAAGTAAAATATGAGTCCTGAGATGGGATTTGGCAGGGCAGCTGTCAGGGGGTCTTCACAAGAGTGGTTTCCATGGAAAGGCAGAGGCAAAAACATGAGGACAGACTCATAGAAAGAGATACTCTCTTTAACTATGGTCCCAACATGTTGCCATAAGTTTAGAGCATCACCTATGATTTTTTCATGTCAAAATCAATTTTTCAAACTTATGTTGCATCCTCTACTGCTTCTTCCACCTCGGTTATGTGACAATTCTATTCTAGTTGTTCTAGTCAAAAAACAACTTGTCACCTTTTTATCTCACATCCATCAGTAAGTCCTGTCACTCATATGTCAACTCATCAGTGAGGACTTCTCTACCTACCCTACGTAAAATAGCAGTTCTTGAACTCTACCTCCAACTCCCTATTCTACTTACTCTGCTTTACATTTTTATTCAATGGCACTTACTGTCATTTAATTTTATTTGTGTACTTGTTGATTTCCTTTTTGTCTATGTCCATCAAAACAGAACTTTTAAAAAATATTTTTAGCTGTAGATGGACACAATCTATTTTATTTATTTCTTTAATTTTATGTGATGCTGAGAATCAAACCAAGTGCCTCACATGTGCTAGGCAAGTGCTCTACCACTGAGCCACAACCCCAGCCCAAAACATAACTTCTTAAGATTAGAAGCTTTGTCTATTTTTTTCTCACTGCTGTATCTCCAGGGCCTAGAACAATGTCTGCCACATCTACAAATATTTGTCAAACAAATAAATGAATAAATCTGAGATGAGAGGAATCAAATATTAAGTTATTAATATTTACATTTAAATGGCACACAAGATGCATATTTTATACTGTTAATAGTTTCATAGTTCAGGAAATACTTTTTAAAGAGATGCCATGTTTGGGGCTGAGCTTGTGGCTCAGTGGTAGAGCACTTACTTAGCATGTGGGAGGCCCTGGGTTCAATCCTCAGCACCACATAAAAATAAATAAATAGAATAAAGGTATTATGTCCATCTACAACTAAAAAATAAATACAAAAAAAGATACCATGTGAACTGGTATTTTGTTTTGTTTTTGGTTTTTTGGTTTTTTGGTACCAGGGATTACACCTAGAAATGTTTAACTACTAAGCCACCTCTCCAGTCCTTTTTTTTTTTTTTTTGGCACTGAGCCACCTCTCCAGCTCTATTTTGTATATTATTTATTTATTTATTTTAATATTTATCTTTTAGTTGTAGTTGGACACAATAGCTTTATTTTATTTGTGCATTTATATGGTTCTGAGGATCTAACCCAGGGTCTCCAATGTGCTAGGCGAGTGCTTTACCACTGAGCCACAGCCCTCTATTTTGTATATTATTTAGAGAAAGTGGTCTCACTGAGTTGCTAAGCACCTCGCTTTTGCTGAGACTGGCTTTGAACTCATCATCCTCCTGCCTCAGCCTTCCGAGCTGCTGGGATTAAGGCATGCACCACCATGCACAGCTTTTGAAAGGCCAAGGTTCGTCGTCAGAGATTAAAATGCACACACACAGATAGCAGTGACAAAGATGAAGCACTTTACTGCAAGCTGGTTCTAGCTTATATAGAAAGTGAGAGTCAGTTATCTTAAACTAGGAAGCTCCCGGGGCCAATCATAGTAAAGGTCAGATTATCACCTACGGTGCACGCACGTCCACCCTGCATAAGATTCATGGGGGCATGAGCTGTCCACGATCACGGAAGACGGGAGGACCAATTAGAAGGTTTTCAAAACAACTTGTTATCCGCCCACTGGCAACTTGCCAGTCGCCATGTTGCATTAGGGGCTCCTTATCTGAAAGGCCCGGGGAGTTCTAGCTGCCCAATGGCAATTTGCCCACCGCCATGTTTGAAAGGCCCCGGGGAGTTCTCAGGGAGACTCCCA